ACACCCCCTTTTTCTTGCCTCCTTGTATGACGACACGAGGGCCTTTGGTTACTCTGATGCAGCCATTCTCTGCCTTGAACGAGCTCCTCTTGACTCCAGCGTAACTAAAGAAATCAGATTTCTTAGATTTCTTTTGAGCTACATGACATTTTTCAGTACTCGTTTCAGGACACGTTCAACTCCATCAAACATCCTTATCCTGATTGATCCACTTCCAACAACCCTATGAGCTTTATTGTCTCCCAAGAGAACGAACCCATCATTTTCCTGTTATAGTGTCTCGAACCAGTCTTTGTGAGGACACATGTGGAAAGAACACCCTGAGTCGAGGATCCACTCCTTACTGGATTCAGATTCTGTGATCACCAGGGCCTCAACAGAATCGTAGTCATGAGGCTACGCTTGCCTCTCCAGAATCTCTGGGCTTCTCCTGAAAACTTTTCTTTCTATCCGGACAGTTCCTTCTAAAGTGACCTTCCTTGTGCAGTGGTAACACTTGTTAGATCTCTTAGAAGACTGACTTCTGCCCTTCCTTCTGGACTTTGATCTGCTCTGATCACTTTTGAAGTCTTTCTTGCTCGATCTTCCTCTAACTGTCAGACTATCTCCACTGGTTTCCTCTTTCATGTCGTGCTTCTTCTGGAGTTCTTTAGCTCTAATAAGAGATTGAACCTCCTCTAGAGTAATAGTCTGCGCCCTTCCATAGAGCATCGCATCCTTGAAATGCTCGTAGCTCTTGGGAATTGAGTTTAGCAATAGTAGTGTCTTGTCATCGTCCATCTTGACATCGATGTTCTCGAGGTCATCGATGATCTTGTTGAACTCGTCAATCTGCTCTGAGACGGATTTGTCTTCATGCATTTTGAAGGAGTATAGGCGTTGCTTCAGAAAAAACCTATTAGCCAGAGATTTTGTCAAGTAGAGTACCTCGAGTTTGACCCAAAGTGCTTGAGCCGTTGTCTCCTTAGACACCTCCCTCAGAACTTTATCGCCCAAGCTCAGGATTATCAAACTGTGGGCCTTGCGGTATGCCGTTCTTCCCCTCCTTGGTCATGTCGGCTGGCAATGCCGCCTACCCTTGCAAGGCTTCTGCAACACCTTGCTGAACCAATAGAGCTCTCTTCTTTACTCACCATAGACCGAAATCATTATTATCATTGAATTTCTCGATGTCGAATTTGGCGGAACCCATTATTGTGACTTGATCCTCAATAACGTGTGAAGTCCGCTTTGTTGAGCACCTACTGAATTCCGAGAGCTGTCGCGGAAATCCTCCTCCTTCGCGAGATCTGTCCCTTTGCGGACCGAACTACCCGCCTTCCTCTGCTCCTTCGCGGACAGTTCCTCCTCCGTCTCGCGCGTACAGCGGAACAAATCAAGAATTCCTCCTCTGCCTCTCGCACGAGAAGACCTGCCTCTCCAGAGCCATCGCGCCTCGCCAAACTGCCCAGGTCCTTCTGCTTCGCGAACTCCCGAACAAGAAACTCCCCAAACCCTTCTCTGCACGATCTCCGCCTCTTCCATCTGGCCGAGCTGCTCGCAAGACCGAACTCCTGCTCCGAATTCTCCTATCATGCTTCCTCTGAAGTTCTTTGGCTCTAATCAGAGATTGAACATCCTCCAGAGTAATAGTTTGCACCCTTCCATAGAGCATCGCATCCTTGAAATGCTCGTAGCTCTTAGGAATAGAGTTTAGCAACAGTAGTGCCTTGTCCTCATCATCCATCTTGACGTCGATATTATCGAGGTCGTCGATGATCTTGTTGAACTCGTCTTCTTCGTCGCTGGCCGCGAACACCTTTACGCGGACACCCCTAGCCAAGAAGTATGGATCTTCCCATAGACGACACCAATTGTTGTGAGATATGTACTTCCTGGCATAGAAACATAGAAATGAGACACAAAGAACACAAGCAAACACATATCGTTTATGTGATTCGGTCCAACTGAGGGAATCAATCAAATAGTTCACTAAGGCAAAAAAAATGGAGAATACATAGCTTATACATAGAGATGAGCCCTCATCTTCCTTCTATGGCCTCCCTCTCAAGCGACGCCTTGATACCATGCCTCAAGATGCTCTCCTCCTCTCTAGCTCTCTAGTTATTGTCTCATCCTTTGTGGTAGCTTAAGAACTCTTCCCTTGCTCTCCTAAGCCTCACACCCTCTCTATTTATAAAAGCAAGAGAGTGGTAGGTGGGAGGTAGGTGAGCGGTAAGTGGGAGGTAGGTGAGCGATACCATATTACAAAAGTGTCCTTTTACCTTAGTTCAATAATTGGGGGTCAAAATAACATTATTTAACATTGGGTGAAAAGCTTTGAACCGGTAACATTATGCTAGCAACTGTTACTGTTACCACAATGCATCATCAATAAATACATCTATACTTTTTTTGATTTAGAAGGGTGATCAAACTATTGAAATTCTATATGAAGCCAAAAAAGCTTTCATGTGTGAGCTTCATTCCTTGTCCCTAAGTTTCATTTCCCTAGTTCTGCCTCTCCAACTCACAGTTTCCATTGCATTACATAATGAATGTTTTCCTAAAAGTATTGCATCCTAATTCAAACAATTAGAAAAAAATCAGGAACAAGCAAGAAGAGAAGATAAATCACATTGCCAGGACTGTGATCAGAAATAAGTAAGATAAGTAAAGAGAACTGGATTGGGCGTTCGGAAATGATAGAGGCTTTGTAAGCAACAAGGCCGGGGGAGGAGACATGACAAGCAAAAAAGAGAAGAGATGACTAGACCGAGCGTTTGCGACAAAAGCTCCGGCTTCGGACAAGGCTGGTGGAGACTCCGACTTAAGGCAAAGCAGGAGATAAGGCAAGTAGAGGGAGGAGACGCTAGGAACAGAAAAGAAGATATTGGCATACTTTTCTTCTAAGGTTGTGGAACAAGAGATGCACAAATGAGGCTAACGAAGTGCGAAATACATAATAAAAGGAGTTTGAAGTTTGTTGTATCTAAAAACCTCTTATAATTAATTTGATAATATATTTATTAATTTTTAATGAATGAAATTTATTTAAAATTAACTTAAATAAATATACTTTAAATTGTGAAACTTACTCTTGTATGCAAAACTTGCATGCACGGCAACCTCGTTTCTCTCTCCCAGTTTCACCCAAAACAATCCCATTCTTTCCTCCCATCATGCCTGAAATCCTCGCGATACAATCGCCACTAGAGCAAGTTGGAAAGGCAGCTATGTGATTGCGGTGGATAAGATCTCTGAAACTCCTGTATATCTCCCTTTTCCACTCTGCTCCTACCTGACTAACCCTCATCTTTCTCTTCCATCCTCCCACGGCCTTCACACGCTTTAGCTTCTCTAAATGTCGTGGGCAACAGGTAACAAATGACATTTAAGTTAGTAGGATTTAATAAATCATGTATATCCAAATTTTACAGGATTTACTAAACCTAAAATGGTTAAATCCGAAAAATTGTTTGGCAACCGGATTTATTAAATCCTATAAAATCACGTGAAATTGTTTGGCAATTTCTATCAAGATTTAAAAATCTGTATTGGTTGTGACACTTTAACAATAAATTATAAAAGTATTTAGTAAATGAGGGAAATTTGAATTTTTAAAACATTCCAAAATAGCAAAAATCGGCTAGCTTCTTAAATTCAATTAATATTTTATTTCAAAATATGATAATTAGTAATTATATATTTACTAAGTTAATTAATTATTAATATAAATTTTATTAAATTAATTATTAAATTGAAGTTTAATATTTGTAAAAGAATAATTAACTAGATGAATCCTTTTTCTCCATGCATCTTATTTAGTGTCATATTTTCATTTAATTCTAATAAATTCTAATAATCATTTAATTCTAATAAATTAATATCATTTTTTATACAATATGTCCAAGTCTTCCTAGGTCTACCTCTGCCTTTCTTAACATAAGTCGAATCTAAAACATCTACTCTTCTAATTAGATTGTGAGATGATCGACGTTTAATGTGACCAAACCATCTAAGACGACTCTTTTTCATTTTGTTCGTCAGTGGAGCTACACTAACCCTATCACACAAATATATTCACTTAGCATTTTATCTCTAAGTGTAAAGCCACTCCTCCAGGTAATCATTGTCATCTTGGCCACCTAATAAGAGAATAATATTTATTTTTACTAATTAATAATTTAATAATAATTAAACATTTATTTTATTACAATTAATATAATTAAATTTTAATTAATAATTATTAATCAATTAAATAATAAATTTAGCTTAAATAAAATTAAATTAATAAAATCCTCGCATGCGTATTCCTCGCTCCCCGACTGTTTCGTCCAAAACCATCCCTCGGCCCCGAGCTCTCGCGATACGCAGTCGCAATTGGTGCTATAGCTTTGGAACGCAGCGACGGGATCGCGGCTTACAAAGAACTGAAACTCCCATATTTCTCCTCCTTCAGCTCCTCTTCTACCCAAAACCATTGAGGAAGGTAACTTAACGTCTTCTTTTTCGCGCGAAGCTTCCGTCCCGGATCTACTAAATCCACCACGGGATTTAGTTAATCCGGGAATAAAGGCTGAAATCCGTAAAATCCCAATTTATCAAATCCGAGGCTTTATTTTTTCCTAAATGGCCGTCCGGCAAGATTTAGGTTAAATCCTACTCTAAATCGGTTACCAGACAGGCCCGTAAGTACTCCTTCCAAAGGGATTTACTAAATGCGGGATTTAAGGCAAAACGGAGGAGAAACGGGATTTAAGATCCTGTAGGATTTAAATTTGTCATTTTGGCTACTTAGCAGGATTTAGGTTAAATCCTGCTACCAAATAGCCCTGCTACAACCTTTTTTTTTAGTTTTAATTTGCTAGTGCTGGTATTCGTCTTGTTATTGGATATTTTAGCTCCTGAAATTTTTTATTGGACGATTTTTTTTCATTGTTCAATTTGTGATGCATACCACCAAAATAGTAATTCAGTGTGGTATCTGTTAATAAGCTGGCCATCCTCAAGTTTTTTTTTTAAAATTCTTTCTATTAATTAGTCGTATATGTGTTATTTCAATACAAAAAAAAAAAAAAAACAACAAAGTCTTAATCCCACTACACTTGGTCGGCTACATGAATCCCTTTTCTCCATTGCGTCCTATTTAGTGTCATATTTTCATTTAGTTCTAATAAAGCAAGATCATTTTTTATACAATAAGCCCAAGTCTTCCTAGGTCTACCTCTGTCTTTCTTAACATAGTTTGAATCTAAAACATCTACTCTCCTAATCGGATCATCAGATGGTCGACGCTTAATGTGACCAAACCATCTAAGACGACTTTCTCTAATTTATATATATAAAAAAAAATTATAGCTTGAGTTGATTTGATTATTTATATTTTAAATTTAGATGCTTTCTTTATGTTTGAGTTTATATTTTCTGGTGAGTTTATTCGTCAAATGCTCAATGAATGGAACTTTTGTTTTAATGAATTAATGATGTTATTACTTTGGCTTTATTGAAGATATTAAATTATTTTGTTTTCATTGTTTATTGCATTAGAGAGCAAGTAAACATGGAGAATGAAAAATCAGATAAATGGAGTCAACTTCATATAGATGGAGAGCAAAATTTTATTATTGGAATTGAAGATAAGAATGTTATTGAGAATTATAATGATAATAATGATAGAGAGAATGATGGTAATGGGGGTAATGATGGTGAACGATGCTGACAAGCTGGATGATGACATTGACAGTGTTTATCTTGTTCAGAGAAAAAAGGAAGAAGACAAAAAATATGGGAAGAGTTTAAAGAAATAATCATTTTTGATGGTTAGAGAAAAGAGAAATGTTATCATTGGAAGAAAAAAATTGCTTTAGAAAGTACAGGTGCAATAAATATTTAGAAGACATTTAAAGCATTATGAAGTTAGGATTCATGCCTTAAGAAAACAAAAAAAAGATTACATTTTCTACCAGTTTATGCTAAAGATGTAAGCTGCTCAATCAAAATTTGAAGGAGATATTTTAATAATATTCAAATATGATCACAATAAAGTTAGAGAAAGAGTACACATTATTTCTTGACTAACGAAAAACCTTTCTCAATTGTAAAAAAAAAAATTGTTTTAATTTTGTTCTAAAGTCAATATACTTATATTTTAGGAAATATTTAAGGACAACTGTTTGTACTGATATCACACCGGTTTATGTGAAGTGTAAGAGGAAGCTAAGGAATATGCTAAAAAATATAATTAAAATAAGTTTTACAATTGATTTATGGAATTCAAAAAGCTAGATAATGACTTATTTTGTCTTTTGCTGTTCATTATCTTAATTTAAATTGAATATTCTTAAAAAAATGTTCCTAATTTTCTACATTTGCCACCTCCACATACAATATCTAACATTTTTTACACATTCTATAAAACTCTTGTTGAATGGGAAGCACAATATCATTAAGTAATGTCTCAAATAATGTTAGGACAATCAAGCTGTTGAAGGATAACTTTAGAGTGGAGAAAAATGTATTCTTCGTGGGTAAGTTGTTTCATGTTAGTTTTTATGCACCCATTTTAACTTTGATGGTTAGTGGGATTAAATAATTTAATGTGGTTGACAAGATTCGTGGCACAAATTAGATTTGTGACATAGTAAGCTTTGTAGATTCCTCTGATGCTAGATTGATAAGATTTGTGAACAATGTTCAATAACTACAATTGCTTATAAGAAAACTAGTAATATAATGTTCTACATGATGGAACTCTACGTATTGTATGTTTACTGTTGCATTACAATTAAGAGAAGCTTTCTTTTCATACAAAGAAAAAATATACTGCATACGGGAATTGCTCCATTGAGAATGAGTGGAATAAAATTAAAATGGCTCGTGGTGTTATTGGTTTCGTTAATGAAGCAATTAAGATAATGTCAAGCACTAACTATCCAAACTCTTAACTTATGTCTTTCTCAAATTTGCATGGTAAAGAATGTGTTAGAAGATAGACGTTTCATGCCCATTGTTGTGTGGCCTAACCAAATCCTCTTGTCACATTTATCTTGTATGTATGACTATTTAAAACCAATGTTATCAAATCACAATGTAATGCACAAGGCTTTGTTTTTGCTTCAAAGCACAAAGAGAAAAGAGAAACTATGTTTTTGTTTACCAAAGAGCTAATAGGTTACATAAAACTATTAATGTATAAATACATTAATTAATAATTATAAAATATAAAGTATGAACTAAAAGTTGATATAAAATTGAAGAAAATGTGGTATAATACATAACTTGAAGGCACTTATTGAAGTTAAACCTGCGAATTAAAATTGCAAACAATTTCTAATAATTTACTGCAATAACTAAAAAATTTAAAAATTGCAAAAAAAAAAAAAAAATCCTGCAACTAAACTTCAGTGCTTCAAAGCTTGCCTCAACGAAGCGAGCATCACGAACTTCACTTGGCTTTTCTCATAAAGTGTGCTTTTAAAAATATTGCTTAAAACCCTTTTTTTTTATTCTTGGTGATGCTCATCCATATCTTCTTGTACTCCACTTTTTGGGTCAAAAGTTCTCAATTCATTTATGTTAAATCAATCAAATTCATGGAAGAGCCCATCTCTATTGGTCTTGGACTTTTCATTTACTTGTGGAATCTCATGAGAAACTAAATCATCTCGACTCTCCACTTCTCAGATGAATGGGTGTCTCGCCGAATTTATTAAATAACTAGCTTCCAACTAAAAATATTCTCATATGAATGCTTAAAATTCTTTAGCTCACAATTGCATCTACTGCCACGCTTCACATGATTGTCAATAGGATGTGGGATTTTCTTTTTTATTCTGCCTATTTTTGAAGATAATATTATCTTTTAAGTACACTCTTTATTTTAACTCACCCTCCTTTCAACGGGATGAAAAATCCATTCAAATGTATTTCTACACCTTAAACTTCTTCAAAATCAACTCTTTATTATTGATCCAACTAAAATATAGAACTAAATTATAGAAATAAAATTCAGAGTTTCGCATAGTCAAGTTCCTTCCCACAATTCATCCAACAAGTTCAATTGATGACAAACTTTCCTATCTCCCTATTTCTTTGAGTCATTGAGTTACCCATTCCACATTATGATTATGATCATACAACCATTGTTATTAGAATAAAGGGATTGTAGCGTTTGTAGAAAAGATGGTCGTCACCTCTTTCCCACCTTCCCATCATTGTCAAAATAAAAAATCACTTATGTGACCATTCTAGAAAAATGATTTTACTTTAATAGCTCAGCATGTCTCAAAGCTTTGTTCAACCAATTCTCGTAGAATTCATTTGAATTCAATTTCTAGTTCCCGAAAGAAATTATGATCACATTTTACTTAACTTATAGTTAACAATATTAATCCCTCTATATCCTCATCTGACTCAACTACAATTGTTTATTTGGTCAATTTTGGGTTTTTGATATGTTATTGTCTCATATAACAGGTAAAAAATAAATTAAACATGGTTAAATATTGTTTAAATTTTCCCCTGCAACTTTGTACTTTGTACTTTGATTTTTATTCAAACCTAATTTTGCATATAATGAAACTCTAGGTTCAAAATAGATGTTCGAATCTTGTTTAAATAAGGGTCAAATACTAAATATAAGGTTTGAACCTTATTCAATTTCAAACTTAGGGTTCTTCTTTCATTTTTTTTCATATTATAATTTAGGAAAGTCGATGTTGAAACGTGATATGACTGTTTTCTGATGGATATAACCCAAAAAACAAGTAAACATTAACCTTTTGTTCATTTTAAGGAGTTTGTGCTGATGTTTTACGATCAAAGGATTACTTAGGATCGAAAGGAGCTATTTTGTGGAAGGGCACAAGCATCGGAGAAAGATATTTAAATATAATCTCATTTCAATCATATTTCTCTAAATCAAGTATAAATAACATATTTGCTTAATTAAGAGCATTATGCAGCATATAAAACCAATTTTTTAATAATATATAAAACTATATATGTGAATTTTTTTGGGGGAGTTACATATATATCAAATAATTTTAATGTATTCATATATCTATTTTTAAAATTTTAAGATTTATTTATATAACATTATATCTTTAATATCATATAAAAAAATATTATTAATTTCAAACTTTTTAATGTGAAATATAATTTTTCACGCATATATTATGAGTTGATTGTGACTCTAAAATATTATGTAAGTAATTATTAAAAATTTACTGTTAGAAATATAAATAAATATAAAAGTTATATGATATGCATGTAAGTCTTCCATATTTTTTTGGGTATTTACATATATACAACACAATTCTTATGCATGTACATATTTAACATCTAAACTTATATATTTATATGCATAAAATTCAAATTTTTAATATTAAATCAAGGTTATCAGTAACTTTTTAAAAGTGTAATACACTTTTCAATTAGAAGTTTATGACACCTAAGTATGATTAATATGAATATAAAAGTTTAATTATT